CTGCTCAAGACTGCTGGGATTATATCATAGCTAGGATTAGTGAGGTCTTGTTAACAATGGATAATGGATAACATTAATGGATTATGGATAATAATGGATATAGCTTTGTTTTGTATCCTGTGTATCCAGTAAGGCTTGTTAGATGATGGAGTGTCTGTCTCAAGTGCTGTTTTACTGACTCTCCCCTGATTTACTGCTCTGGTAACCACAAGATGACAGACTGTGCTCTCTGTCTTTTTCCAAGTGCCTTGGTGAGCAGGGAGAGGTGGGAAGACATACAACAGAGTCTGCACCCGGACTTGCAACATCAAGTTGTTGACATCTTCAGTCTGAGAGTCAAGGGAGCACCTTAAGGGCAAGTTATTGATGTTCTTATGTGCAAAGCTGTAAATCATTTGCCCACCAGACTGATTTATGTTGCTCAGTTGGGGCGGGGAGGGGGGAAGCACTCATAATCTATGTGGTTTTTGTCTTCCTCTTGCCTGTGTTGGATCTCAACTACCAAAACAGGAAATGTTGATAATTGTTACTTGTGACCAATGAAGGTGACACACTGACTGTGTGATGATTCTCTGTGATTTTATTGGATGAATCACATAATAATGTTTACCATTTGTCTGCTTGAATTCAGGTAACTGCTTTTCTTCTCTGTAAGCAGAAGAGTGTGCTTTGTGCAGGGACTCTTTATGCTGCCTTCTGTGAAGATGAGTGGGAGACCCACACACTGAGGGCTGTTTGTTAGGCTGACCTCTATGACAGTGCTTTTATTCACTTTTATGTTCTTCATGAGTTTTATTCTTGTGATTCTGCTTTAGAAAAAGGAGAGCAAAAGTTGAGGCTAGAGATTACTGTGAGATACTTGGAATAGCTCCTTGCCCTCACAACATCTTTTTAGTTCTTCTTGACTGTGGGAATCTGGGAATACTTCACAGCTCTTGGGTTCAGCTGTAAGTTAAAGTGGCAGAGAACAGGAGGATGGCAAGATGGAAAAGAGAAGTAAGCGAGAGTTGAAAAAAAAGTAGAATGTAAAACTCCATAATTCTCTGTACAGGAGAACAGTCATGGTTCCAGCTGGAACAGCCAGTAGGAAGCAAATATTTTTGTGTGCAATTTAAGGTTTAGTATGAGGGTGCATTCCCTTCCCCAAAGCCAAAAAATAAAAGATTATAGTAAAAAGGATGGGAGTTTGAAAATATTCTATGATTTTGAAGACAGCATGGTTGTTCTTGTGACACAAGAATTTTGTTTCTTGGTTTTGACATTATAAAAGTGAAAATACTTGGAAGAAGTGTGAGTTCTTCATGAGGGACCTGTGACCAGGACTGATTAACAACTAATGATTACAGTAACAACTAAGAGGCAGTAGAAAGGTAGGAATAAGAAAAAAACACAGCAAGATGTAGCATAGCAACCTATTGGACTGGATATTATGTTTAAAAAAGCCTTATTTAACAATACAGAGTTCTCTCATGACCAGCACCTGTAGTATCTAGCAAGTTTATCAATCAAGGGAAGTAAATCTGCTTGTGGGATAGCTTGCTGTTATTTATAGCACAAATTGCTGAGGCCTCAATGTTGCCACGTGTGTCCTCACCATCCTTTTTGGAAGCATCACAACAGGTGTGTTTTTCAGGCTTTATCCTCTCCTGCTAATGCAGTTTTGGTTGGCCCAGGTCACCTGAGATGAATTCTGCTCTTTCTGAAAATACTTGAGTTTAAACACTGCTTATTTGAATAACTGCAGAAATAATTGTGAGATTTGGGAGGCTGAAACTTTGTTCACCTGAGTGAAAAGTTGAAGGCCTCTGTGCTCCTGGGAATTTTGACCACCTACCTCTGCATTTATATTAACTTCACAATGTCTTCCTTTTCTTGTATTACAAATGAAGAAGGCATGCTATGCAAGATTTGAAGAACTTGAGGTATGTTTTCTTGTGTCTGTGTAAGTGGAACTGGGATGTTCTGAGGCAGGCACAAGCTTTTGGACGAGGTTGCTTAATTCCGTTGCATATTTCTCTGCTTACGTGACAGCTGTGGAACAACAATGAAAGGAAAGATGTGCAACTCCCCACGGAAGTGCTGGTGAAATGACTAGGAAAATAAAATATGTCCTCTTGAGAATTATGCTTATAATAATATATTTTAAGGGCAGATATGAAAGGAACATATCTCTGACCTCCTGTTTCAGCAGACTGTAGAACTGCCCTCTATACATTTTTAAATCAAGTTCAGTATCTTCCCCTTAGAATTTCAAAGTAATACTCATTCTTGAGTTAAAAATTTCAGTGAGTGTCTCAAGGAACATTGTTTTTATGAATATTTTATCTGTTAGATTCTATTTTGCACTGTTCCATGTTAATTTAAGCTGTGTTCAATACCAGCTTTCAGCATATCTGTAACTGCTTTTCTGTGAGACTAAAGGACACTTCCCTAAGAAAAAAATCTCACCACATAAACATATCTCAGTTGCCGTGAAACAGATTCTTACCTTGCAGAGCTGCAAAATGTTTTCTTATAAAGCAAGAAATGATCTTAGTAAAAAATAGTGAAGAAAGAAGAAGCTACAGTATAATTTAAATTGAAGACATTACATGGTAGCTAGTATGTAGTGGGCTTTTTTAAAAAATACCATAAACAGCATATTATATTTTAATGACTATGTAACTAAGAAATATTTTAAGTTTGAATAGCAGTAATGTCACTTTAAAGAACAGTGTTATGTGTTCATGCGAGCACAAGTCTGGCATTTTCTAATGTTCAAATAGTGAAGGCATTGACGTAGGATTACCTCATTGTTTTAAAGTGTTATTAGAATAAAAAGTAATTCTCTTTCCAGGAACAGAGAAAAGACAGGCTTTTTTTTTTTTTTTTTTTTTTTAATTGTATTTTACTACATTTTAGAAAAATTACTTAGTTTTATGTGCCACAATGGCTCTCTTTAATTTCTGTTTGGGAAACACCAGTCTTACAAAACCAATGAAGAACCTTTGTAAAGTGTATAATAGTTTAATTTTTTTTTTTACTCAGCAGTTATGCTGTGTAAAAAATGTACTTTTATGCTGTAGAAGGAACAAATCTGTGGTTTTGCTAGTGTTATGGTAAAGGGCACCTCCCCAGTTTCTGTGTAAGAGAATATTTTTGTAAAAATTGTTGCTTATTTATTTCTATGTGAATAAATCCAGCTAGTTTTAGAGCAACTGATGGTTATTCAGACTATTTTGTCAAAAAAACACGAGAGAAACCTGTTCTCACTTAAAAAAAAAATCACTTGAGCAATGTTCACAAACGTTTGGGCTTTTCTGCAAAATAGTTCAGGCAATTAAAATAGTCTCTCTAAAAGAAAATGCCCTATGGTATTTTGGCAGTGTGGTCACTCCAAAAGTCTTTTCACTATTTAAAAGATTTGTGGTGTGCTTTCAGGAGAACAGAAATATGGAAGAAGAGTAGTCTGTGGTCCCTTTGTTGTTCTGTAGTTAATCCAGTGTGGTGGGTTATGGGTTATCAAGTTTTTGTGTTAAAACAGCTTTAATGCCTTTGATCAGGAAAAATCAGGTCTGTATAGTATGCACTCTTGGGATTTTTCTTTATAATTACAGCTAGAAGTACTCTCAGGTGTTGAGAATACCATTAGGAAATGTGTGGAATGCCTTGGAATTAGAATGATGTCATAGCAATTGGAAATGAACCCATCACTGGCTCCTTTGTTATTAAGAGTGTTTGTGTCTTACATGGAGAAATACAGTCACACATTACGAGCAGTTAGGATTTCAGATTCTCAAGAAACAATGCAGGAACCCAGCAATCTCTTTGCCAGAGATAACCATGTGATATTTGAAAAAAAATTTCCTCCAGTTAGTTTATGATTCCAAACACTGCAATTTGTTAAGTGCAGGGTTATTTTACAAAGTTTATATGAGGGTGGACTATCCTATGTAGAATAGTTTTTCTGTATTTGCAATCCTTCTGCTCTCATTCTCAGTGATTTAGCGAGTTTTCATTTTGTGTGTCCTAATCTACATTGCAAGTTTCTTTTGCAAGGACTGCCTTTTAATTATGCCTTTTCAGCAAGTCACAATTCATAGAGTTCTGATTGGAATATTGGGTGCCTACCATGAGGAATTACAATCTTTATTCTACATGTAACAGGAGTGTGTGACTGGCAGTTCTTTGGAAGCTGCCCTGTGTTTTGGTAAGAAGAGTAGTAACATTCTCTTTTCCAATACTTCCCTTTCTTTACCAGTTTACATTTGTACTGCACACAAACAAGAACTGCAAATCGACAGCAATTCAGGGAACGCTTCATCAGAGCATTTTTGATGCTGGGGTTAAGCAGCAATGAAACAATGACTTGAAGGGGTCTGGCTCGGCCCCGGGAAGGGAGAGGCTGAGCCGTGCGATGCTTTACCAATGCTGCCATCTCTTGCCCTTCTTTGGTATTGCCAGCCCTAAAAATGCATGGACAAACGGTCAGATCCTTAAAGGCAAACCCAAAACCCCTCCCTCCAGACCCTGGAGTCGACAAATGACATCAACATTTTTTTTTTTTTCTCCTAAAACCTCTCAATTTTTATATAAATAAACTCCTTAAACACACAGCTTCATTTACCTCAAACAAGGCTGCTTTCAGTCTTTTATATTTTTTAAAAACTTCATTGAATGGGCTCTACTAACTTTGAGGTTGTTTTGAGTTGCTGTCATTCAAATTAAAAACAAACATGGAGAAACAGAGAAATTTAAATCGACAGATAAATCAAAAAAACAGATCTATCCAGCAGTACTGTATGCTGCCTGAACTCCTAAGAGGTTTCTTTTATTACTGGAAGCCATGATGGGAGCAGATTGGGAGTAGAGATGACAAAGTCTTTTTCTGTGCTCACACAAATTGAAACCCCACTTTCTTTCACTAAGCAATGGCTGCTTTGACGTTTTTATGAAATATGGGCTTAGCTTGGTTTCCAGTGGGCCATCCAAAATGTTGATTCCCAATGATAATTCTGTGTGGCTATTATAATGATTTTGTTTCTTTTTTCTTCTTCTTTTTTTCACTTTCTTTGTCCAGAAAGATACCAGTTTCCATACCTGAAAAATTAATGGGAAAGTGTGAATTGCAATAGTCTTGTATTTTTCCACAGCTTAGCAAAAAGGCCAGTCTGGTTTTGGTGTTCGTTTTTTTTTTTTTTTCCTCTTCAGTTTATCAGTGTTTTAAAATATGCAAGTTTAAGATTTTTAGGTTAAAATGACAGCTGTCTTTAGGCTAGTATATATGAAACCCACTGAAATATGAAGGTGTAACTTTAAAATTGAGATAGAATAATTCTGTAGAAACCTTCTGAAATAATTTCTGTGTTTTAAAAAATAGCTGAGTTATGTTTTTATCTGTCATAAAAATTAATATGGTTAGATATTAACTTGAATGGAAGATAGCATTTCTCAACAGATATAAGCTCTGCTGCCAGATGAAAATGAACTTGTTTCTAAATATACTCCATCCTGGACAGCTGGTATGATTATAGTCCCTGTCTTGGCAAATGCACTTAGTAGGTAAAGATAATTATGCCTGCCTAGCTATTTCCACAAATTCTTGTTTAAATCCTTTTAAAACACCAAAATAAGTGGTAAGCAAATGCAAGTGTAATTTATATATTTTCTGATTTTCCTCTAATTTTTACAATATAAGGTGGTGCATTTCCAATGAGAACACTTTGGGGTTTTTTTTTGAGAACTGGTCTGAGATTTGCAGTACTGCTGAGAAGTTATGTGTTACAGAATACTGGTCTGAACTGGAAGAGAACTGATGGTTCAGAAATACTTGGATTTCTAATACAATTTCAGATAAAGCCTCTTGGAAAACCTCACTGTAATGTTATTCTGTAACTTTGCTACTTGGGCATTTTAGTGGTAGGGGAAGACAACTGTATTGGTTTATTTTCACATTGTTTTTTTTATTAGTGTTTTTCTTTGACTCCCTCTGGTTGTGGTGCTCTTGGCTAGGTAATTTATAGCCTAATAAGAAGCTCTAGACGACTGTCCTGGTTGCCAGAGGCCCGACAGTCAGATCTGAGAAGTGTTTTAAAGACACATTTGGTTTGAAATTGCTTTTCTGTTCTTCCCCAAATGAAACCCTGCTGCTACACACATTATTTTTGGATTGGGAGAAGCTGCAGTGGAGCAGGGATGGTGTGTGTTTATAAGGACACCTGACAAACAAAGCTTTTTGGGAGCTGAAGCTTGCTGGGGAGGTGAGAAGTGGGCCAATTCCATTTGGAGAAGAGGTGGAGTTTTCACAGACTGGCATGGGTGGTAGGGTAATACTGCTGAGGCCATGGCTAACATTTGCATTTGTGCAGGCTGAAGTAGGGACCCTTCCCTGCCTCCCCTGAGTGAATTCTCTGAATTCACATGCTGTAGCCCTGGGCATGCTGCTGTCCTGAGGTCTGCTGCACAGGAGCATCCTGTGTCCTCCTGTGGTCCTGCAGAGTGCCTGGCTCTGTGCTGTTGGGTGTGGTAGGTAGAGCTCCTTACTCAGCAGGTCCCAGTGGCCATGTGGCTTCTGCATCACCATGCTCTGGGAACAGGGTCATGCTGGCATTGATTGAGGGCTCTTCAGAAATGAAACACATTTTCTTTGACTGGTTTGTTTGAAAGAGAATGAGGAGAATAAACAAAAGGTTTGACTGCATGTGAGATAACAGCAAGTAGAGTCAAGGCTCTGGTGGTTTCATGAAATCTTGTGGTGTAATAAAATGATAAGCTTTCTAGGGAGCTCTAGAGGGATTCCTGGTAGCTTTTTGTTCCTTTTCTGATTGCTGCTGCTTTCAAAGAGCAGCTCCTAGGTGTTCTCTCTTATTTTAATTTACTTTAGTGTGGTACTTATGGAAGCTCCCATCCAACTCCTCAGCTGATCTTTGTGGCTATCTCTGCAGAATTTACTAACCAAACCTCTTTTGCCTTTCTCACCTGGTTGCATTGTAGACTTGCAATCTCTCAGCTGCTTTTATACTAAGGAAGGGCATGATGTGTTTGCAACAAGCTTGTGTGAACTGGTGGTGATCTCTTTGTAGCAGCATTTTAGCTGTCTCCTCTTCCCATTAGCTATTCTCTTTGTAAAAAGCAACTGTATTACAGCTCTGTGTCTTGTAATTTTCTTTCCTGTTCTAGATCTGCCAGCTCATCTTCTTTGCTGACCACCAAACCTTGTCCCTTCATCTGCATTCTGTCTCCCCAGCCATTTTAGCAGTCACATGTATCACACAAATCCCATTTGTTCCTTTTTAAACATCTCGTTATCCTTCTGTTCTTTTTTTGGAGTGCCTTATCCTTTCTCCACTTGGGAGAATATCTGATTCCATCTGAAGAGCCCAGTGTGACTTCCTTTCCAGCATTCAGAGTGTGCCTTTTGTTGATTTTTGATCTGGGCCCTCACCCCAGAAATAAGGATAAATTCTTCCTTCACTTTTGGAGCCCTCCAGAAACTGAGCTTCAGATTCCAGTAAAATAGGAGTTTTTATCTTTCTGAGGTTATGGTTGTGATGTCTTCAAGCTGAATTATCTGCTCCCAGGCTGAATTTTCTCATGTTTTGTAAACAAAATTGATGTCATCAAGATAACTTCTACAATAGAAGTTGCTTGGTGAGGTAAAGAACTTTGTGTTTCAAGCATTAAATAAGATTGCATCACACAAAGGAAGGGGATGGTCCTAGTAGCAAATGGCTTGAGGGAAGATTGATCCTTTAATACCAAATGTATTCAGAACAGACTACAGACAAGTTAGTTCTCAGCTTGTGCTGAGAGCTGGGCTAGGCCCTGCAGTAGCAAATAAAGTGAGTAAAGCAAAGACCTCTTTCCTCAGGGAATCATGATGTATTGTGAAAGATGTGTATTTTATGGTTGGTTTTCTCAAAGACTAAAATGAATATTATATGTGTTATGTTAGAAAGTTATGCTGTATTAATTTTCTTAAGTAGTGTGTGAAATATAGTTTTAAGTTATAACATATTGTTAAGATAGAAACTATGCTATGTAAGATACTTTTTTTTAAAGAAGGGAATGAGGTACTTGCACCGAGATAGCAGCCACAGGACACCTAAATGTTTCAGAGAAAAAGAATTTATTGCTTCATTATCAGAAGAAACAAACTTCTTCCTGCCTCACTCTGCACTGAGGACGCTGTCAGGATTAAGAGGAAAAAGCTGACACTGACCAGACAAAATCTTTTGTTTGAATAGAATTTATGCATCATATATGAGATGTATGAATATGTAATGGACTATTGCTTTTAAGGGTTAATCCTCTGTTAACTTGTGTCCTTTTTCGGGCTTATTTTGCCCAGAAAGAGTCACCTCGACTGTCTGTAACTCTTTGTTTTTGTTGTCTTGTATTGTCCTCATCCCAATTGTCCAAATTTTTATTACTCTAATTATATTACTATTTTTATAACCATTTTATTACTATTAAACTTTTAAAATTTTAAAAACAAGTGATTGGCTTTTTTCACATGTATTATGGGCCAGTATGAGCTTGTGATACCAGAAATATGTTGCATAATCATGCCTGTAGTAAGTTGGTCCCTGAACATGTATGTAATTAGTATGGCAGAATGTTTGCTGACTGGAAACAATGCTGTCAACCTAAACATAAAGAAATGGTGTGCCAAGCCTCCTCTCCAAAATGTGATTGCCTTTAAAATGACAAGATCAAACCACTACCAGTAACAAATGAAAGCGATACTTTTTTGATTCTTTTTATTTGCTGTGTAATGTTGGAATATTTGTTGTCTGCTTGCAAGTATGCAAAGTTGTATTAAATCCCAGATTCTAGGGTGGTTAGTTGATTGCAGCCTGGGCAATACTTGCTAATACTCATCAAATCACACAAGAGTTTTGCTGAGCATGGCTACTCCAGATTGTGTCACTGGGGAGATTCACACCTGTGTGCTGTGAGGAGCCTGAATTTGAATGCCAGGGTGAGATATGTACATGTTACATATTGAGTGAAAGTGGGTTTAGAGAATGTGCAAGATGTCTGAGGATGTGGACAGGCTTTTTTGTTTCTAGGTAAGGGAGTTTAAGAAGCTCTCATCCCCAGCTGCTCAGTTTCCATCAGTGCTAGACATTTCAGTCTCCTCAGCTGAGCTACTGCAGTTGGATACTACAGCATCTTCAGATCGTTATCCCCCAGCACCTTGAGCTCAGATAAAGGGCTTTGAAGAACAGTGGGTGAGGAATGCTTGCACCTTTTGTCCTCCTGGCAGTGGGAGTGAGGATCCTGCTGATAGGTATGAGGAGATTGGGGGTGACATGCATCTAAGGAATGCTAATGTCTTAAATCACTTCCAGTTTTCTGTAGAATAAACGTGTCTAACCCAAGGCAAGGCTGGAAAGGTGCTAGTAACGTGGCTTGATATTACAGACACTGAAACTTCCTGCCTCAGAGGGGCTCTGTGCTTTCTCAAGAGAGATTGCAGTAATGTGTGGTGCAGGAAGGAGTGTGCATGACAAGCAGAAGATCAGGTGTCCTCTCACTGAAATTTGTTTGCTATCTAGACTGAGGCTGAGCCACTGAAACTGTTTCGGGTTTTATTTCAACATTAGGAAGTGCTATGTCAACTGCATAGTGATATGTCATCTTCTGCTCCATCACTACTCTGCATCTATCCGTGATTAAATCCACATGGAGCTGTCTCATCCCTGTCCAGCTAGTGCTAATGCTTTGATTTTGATGCCCTATGTTTGGAATCAGATCCTAATCCACATCAGGAAGCAAGCAAATGCCAGGAGCTGGAGTGCAGTTAATTTATTAAGATAGGCTGACTGGGTGTTTGCTCCATTTCTGACATTTATGCAAGGCTTGCTCTTGTCCTGGGGATATTACTGCCCAGAAAAATGCAATATAATGCAGATCTAAGGATTATCCATTTTATATTCATTATAATTTTAACTAATACTTGCCTGACCTCCTGTATGGGGAATGATCACAACTGCTCCTGAGCATGTGTGGGGTTATGTACTTGCCCATTCTGTCTGTCCTGTCACTGCCCTTCTGTCAGTGAACCAGCAAAATGGCATTTGTGTTGGTCCCTCTGCCAGAACTCTCCAGGAGTTCTCAAACTAGGTCCCTTGGCTGAGATGGAAAGAGGGAAAAAGTGCTTTTCTCTGACCCTATGTGGTAAAACTTGGAAAGCTACAGGAGAGATATGGAGATATTTAGTGAAGTCTAAAAGCAGTTGAGGACAGTTGGGTAGAAAATAAATCACCATGGTAAGAAAAACATTGCTTTCGATGTGACAAAGAAATGGAAGTTCTCTGTTTGCATCCATTACTAAGGGACAGAAAACCACGTGGTGTATGAGGTTTGCATAAGTTTGTCATGTGAGATGAAGACTGTTGAAATCATTAATCCTTGCAAGGAAAGAGAAAAAATGTTCCTGGGTATGTGTTTTTGCCATTTCTACCCAACTTTTCCTTGTCTTCACTGTTGGGAATCTGTGTCCTGGAAAAATTTATAGTCTGAAATGAACATTTTCCCTTTTCCCTTTTACTTGCACTCAGATACGGATTTTGTTTCTAAATAACATTACTGTTCAGCATTTAGGCATGTTCTCAGGAGGAACTGGTAATAATTTTGTCATACTCCAGATGTGAGTGTGAGCATTCCCTAGCGTGCAGCAATGCAGAATTGCCTACATGTGATGGGAAGGAGGGCTGATTTTTCAGGGTGGTGGATGAGGAGTGTTCTTCTGTTCCAGCCCACCGGCACCACTCTGATGAGCCCATCAGAGCACTGAAGATGTGTACAATGAATGCTAAGCACATCGTGCAAATAAGCACAATAATAATAATAATGTTGAAGATAGGAAATGAATAATTTCTCTAAATGAAGCTTGGGCAGGAATTCAGATAGAAAGTATGTAATTAAACCAAGCTGGAACTTGATCAAAATACTGAAATGGTACTAGGAAAAAAAAAGAAAAGTTATTTGATGACTATTAGCAGGAAGAACCTTGAGTTTCTACTTCATCCGGAAAGAAGACAACTGCTGCCGGCTCCAGAAAAAATTGAATTCCCAAGAGAATGTCCCTCCTTCTCCCAAGTGATTTTCCCATGGAGAATTTCTGTCTTTGGCTGCCAGGGTAATACTCACCAGTTCTGGAGGTGGGGCAGATATTTGTGCAGGAGAGAGACTTTGGGGTTTGGCCCTGGAAGGACAGTGAGATAGGTGGTGGCTGAGCTGAGCATGGCCGGTGCTGGTCCTGTCTGAGGCAGCAGGCAGTGGCAGGTTGTCATGGGCTGATGATGGCCAGATGCTGAGCACCCACAGAAGTGGCTCACCCCCTCCCTCTGCAGCTGGACAGAGGAGAGAAAATATAACAAAGGGTTCATGGGTTGAGATAAGGACCAGGAGAGATCGCTCATCAAGTATCATCACAGGCGAAACAGGCTCAACTTAGAGATATGAAGTGAATTTATTACTAACAAAATCAGAGCAGGGGAGTGAGAATAAAAAAAGGCCTTAAAACCACCTTTCTCCCACCCCTCCCTCCTTCCCAGCTCTACCTTCTACTCCAGCGGTGCAAGGAGACAGGGAATGAGGGTTATGGTCAGTTGATCACCTGTGGCTTCTCCTGCTGCTCGGGGAGAGCAGTCCTTCCCCTGCCACACTGTGGGGTCCCTCCCATGGAAGACAGTTCTCCATGAACTTCTCTGATATGAGTCCATCTCATGATCAACAGCTCCCTGCAAACTGCTACAACACGAGTCCAGCTCAAAAGCAACAGTCCTCCTCAAACCACTGCAGCGTGGGTCACTCTTCCACGGGGTGCAGTCCTTCACAGAAAGGATGCTCCAGCCTGAGAGGAGGGCCCCTCTCTCCATGAGTGTCCCATGGGCTCACAGTCACCTCTCAGCCATCCACCTGCTCTAGCATAGGCCTTCTCCACGGGCTGCAGGTGGATCTCTGCATTCCCATGGATCTCCGTGGAATGCAGGGGCAGAATGCCTCACCACGTCTTCACCACGGCCTGCAGAGGAATCCCAGCTCTGGTGCCAGGAGCATCTCTCCCCCTCCTTCACTGGCTTTGGTGTCTGCAGAGTTTTCTTCTCACACGTTCTCACTCCAACCACTTCTTGTGGTTTGAGTGGTCCAATCACTTTTAAAAAAATTATGCAACCACTTTTTGTTTATCTTTGTTCCTAAATGTGCTATCACAGAGGCTTTACGACCATAATTAGCCCAGCCTTGACCAGCATGTGCCATCTTTAGAGCTGTCAGGGACTGGCTGTGCTCGACACAGAAGGAGCTTCTGGCAGCTTCTCATGGAATCCACCCTGTAGCCCCCTGCTACCAAAACCAGGTCATGCAAAACCAGTATTCAGGTTTAAATAGCTGGTCCTGCTGAAGTGGATTAAATGACTGGTTACACAGTCCTGTGCCCATCTGAACTCTGACCAGACCAGTCTTTTCTTAACTTGGACTCTCCGGTACAAACAGTCTGTGGATGAAGGGTTTGCAGCAAGGATCTTCACCCTATCACAAACCACAAAGGCCCATTTGCTGCTGTGTGATAAAAGGCCCATTTGCTGTTGCTGCTGGCTTTACTGGTTAGTGATTGCTCCCTCTTCTTTTCCCATGGCTAGAGGACATCATAAATTACCAAGAGAGCCCTCCCCTTAGCTGGGTGAGGGCTGAACTTTGCTTGTGTATTTGAGCTCAGTGCACAATTAACCTGGCACAATTCACTGAGGCATAGTTCACTGTAAATCCTTACACAGTAAATGAATTGTAATCAATACATTTTGGTGATGACTGAAAGGCAATTCGACGACTAAGTAAAGCAGGGTGTTGAAATTTCAGAGAGTAGGTATTTTGAAAGGATTTGAGGCAAAAGGAGAATACCTGCAATTCTCTGCAATGCTTGTGATGTGACTCTGTATGCTAATAGGATGGTCAAGCTGTACATGCCTGCATGGGCTCATGGGAAGAAGGAAAGATTGAGCCTTCATTCCTGCAGTGAAGACAAAGGAGGTGGAATGGCATTGCCAGACATGTCATGGACCCATGCTCAGTAGTTCTCCAGCCCATTTTCCCCCCCAATTTTCATATAAAGGATACATTGCTTAAGGCAGGGTTTTATCCCACAGTTGTCTTGCTGCTCATTTGACTCTACTAAAGCCAGAGCGCCACTTAGCTGTGCTCTGGCTATGAGGGATGGTTTTACAGCCCCAGGCATGTTGGTGTCTCTGTGAGACACAAGGGGCAAGGAAGAGTTTGCAGAGAAAGGCATCATTGAATGCCACAAAGCTTTAGCAGTGTTAAGGTCAGTAATCTTACAGGAGGTTCTAGCAGCTGGCACTCTGCCCCTGGCTCCCAGGTGATGGTGGTCCAAGGCTGTGTGCCTCCCTTTGTCTGTGCTAAGACTCAGAGAAATTAAAGCAGCAGGAGCAGGACTGCTCAGGCTGGGACGACTGGTGAAATGGCATCTTAGAACACGCCAGTTACTTAGGAATCCTAGGATGGGAGGAGAGGGAGCTTACTGTGATGGCTTTCATAAGCTGATCTATGATTTAGGCCTGGTTGAACATGTGATCATTGGGCTGTAGCCTTCTCTTAAGTGACTGGGAGGAAATCTACAATGTGAGCCGTGCTTGGCTCCCTGCCGTGCCTGCGTGATGCAGGCTGCACTGGGGACTTGCTGTGCTTAAGGTGCTATGAATTGGATCCAAGCATGATTTAAGGCAATTTTCTTGTAATTCACAGTCAAGCAATGGAATAGATCTGTCTTCTGAGAATCAAAAGTATTAATAACTCCCTTAGACACAATTTGGAAGCAAATGAATACCTACATTTTTTGCTGAATTTGAGAGTGTTATTTTACTGTACGGAGATGAGCTCCATTAGCAGAACACATGAATTAAAACAAAGCAGCTTTATTTGCATTTTGGTTAACTGTTCTTGAGACAAGAAAGCTCATCTAGTTGTGAATGTGTGGCAACGAAGATTATAAATGGTGCAATGGGGTTTAATCTTTAGGTTTTATATTTCTACAAAATGGCTGTCATACAGAAACATTTCCTTACCTACAGCTGAAATTTGTCACCATGGTAACCTTCTGTGTTTGGAGGGGTGGGATGCTCTAGGCAAATATGCAGCTACAACCTCAAAAATTGTTACCCAAACTGAGTATCATTTCTCCTCTCTTTCTTTAACATCTCTGAGGTTCGTACACACTGGACACTGCTCACGTAACCAGATCAGAGAGAGGCTGTATGAATTTAAACTATTTTCTTTTTTTGAAAGGAGCAGTGTTTGGGGCACTTTCCTCCCTTATTCAACTGGCTCCATCGTTCTCTGACGGCAGCCCCAAACCAGATTGGCTCTCCAGGTGTTGCTGGACCATGCTCTGCTCTGATACCTGCAGTGTCACCCACTGCTGCTGGGGAAAGCAGAAATCCTGAACGGGGCCACATCAGCTCAGCAGTGGGGAGCATACTGTTAATTTGCTGGCCTCAATATGCACACAGCTCTATTGTGTTTTGTTTGACATACATGTCTTGAGAGCAACTTCAGACCTTAAACTTTTTTTAAAAATTTGTTTATTTTTTGTTTATTCTGCAGAGTCAAAACCCCTTCACACAAATGTGATTAAAATTTCTGAGATTAAAATTATTAAAGCTGTGGAGAGCCCTTGCCCACAATATTGTGTCAATGCAATAATATTTGAAGGACATGTCAACATCTTGATCATTTAACTTCTGACTTTTATTTCCCATTTATATGTCAAACTTCTTCGCACTGCTTACCCATGTTCTATTTTTGGGTTGTAGGAAAATGGAGGAGTTTATGATTAAAGCTCTGGACAAAGGCTGTGCAAAAGCTCTGGACAAAGACTGAAGTTGCTATTAGTGAACTACTGACTGCCACTAACTCTTGATATAACCATGGCTGAGTCGTTCCATGTCTTTCTGCCTTATGTCCTCATCTGTAGACAACACCCTCTTTCTTCTTCTCCTTCTGCTTGTTGTGTAGGCATACAGTATGGCAAGAGCTGGTGTCAGGATGTTCCTCATCTGTGCAGGAGGGCCTTGATTTTATCTGAGGCTTCTTGGTATAGAATAAAAAAACAGTGAATAAAAATTATTCAAAGGAGTGCAATAACAAGCAAAGTGGTGACCCTACCTGTTTATTTGCTTTTTGAGAAGCTCCTGGCCTGCCACAGGAGCCACCAGTAGAAAGGGCCCTGTCATCTGAGTATGCCTTTCTTCTCCCTGTGACTGATGTTTACATCCTCTTATCTTTCCCCTGTAGGGTGGAGCAATCAAAAACATTCCTTCATGTTAAGGCAGGATGTGTTTGAAAGTGTTGTCTGGCCCAGGCTACCTCTGGCTTCAGTGCCTATCTTTGCTCCTTTGAGGCCATCTGCTAATCTGAAGTAAGACACCTTTAGCAGGAAGATCAAGTTTAACAGCCTCGGAGCCACTGGCAGGCAGAAGGAATGATCCTTCAGGGCAGTTTGAGCACTAGGTCCACTTCCTGGCATCTAGCACGTGAGGCTGAGCTGACTATTAATATGCAGCCACAAACCATGCTGCTATCCCCCTAGGGACTGGGGGCAGAAAGCATCATTTTGGGGATTTTACAAGGCAAAAGAATATGGAGCACAAAAAAAAACCGTGTTCAGAGGTTACCATCCACCATCTCCCTTCCTTTTCACTGTCTTCTCCTCTTTTTGTCAAGAGCAACACAGCATGAAAGGGGAAAAAGGCACATGCTGAGGCTCTTGGTGTCTCCTACTTTCTTTCCCCTCTTCTGCTCTGCACACTCCTCCTTTTGTCTTGTTTAGGTTGGAGTGGTGGTGGATCACAAACAGACTGTTACTAGGAGAAGGACCTTGCCATTCACATGCTTCTAGACCCATCTCCCAGATTACTGACATCCTTGCATCTGCAGAATTCGGTAGGGAAATTTGTAAGAATGTGTTTTTCATAGAGAGATTTTTGGAGACATCTTCCTATCAGGGGTATTGCACAAAATGGCTCCCTCCAAAGGAGGGAGGATCTCCCAGTCACCTTCCCCAAAATGTAAGGCAGGGAGGAGGGTGAAAAGCTATGATTTCCAAAATTATCTGAGCATTTTTTCAAGTAGCTTAAATTATTTGCAGGCTCAGACTGGCTTGGGGGATGAATGGAGGTTGTGCTGGGTGCCTGTTGCATTCAAATAAATTGCTCCTTTCCCCAGAGCTCCAGCTCCTCTGTGCAGCCAAATCATGTATGTTTGCAGGAGACAGTATGCTTGTGTTTCTCCCACGACCCTGCTGGCTCATTAGTGTTATTTCTGGAGGTCTTGTTTCCACAGTAACAAGCAATTACCATTGTTCCTTGGACTGCCAAAGTTACCACCAGCAACGCAGAGGAAGATGTGTTATTCTCTATATTGGGATAAAATGCCTTCATATGTCTTGCTATTCACTGAATGCCAATCCTGACGCAGGTCCTGTGCAAATAGCACACTCCACCCCCTGCCAATGCTGCTTTTGCTGGTATTAAGACATGCCAAATTCTGAAAAGATCCAAAATGATCTCCTCTGGTCTGTGGCTACACTGGTAACGACAGGGTCAGGATTTCAGCAGCAGGATGACTGTACCAATGGTAGCTCTGGTAGGAATATAAATAGAATAGCTTGGAGGCAGTTCTTCTTGCAATTGTGCTTAGCCCTGTTCTAAGGAATGCTGGCGAGTGACGTCAATGAAATATACTCTCTGTATTCACCCTATAGCTCCTACCAGTACTGTGGTGGAGCTCCCACATGACAGTCTGCTGGTCTTGT